GCGAGAGAATCATCAACTGCCTTAGTAAAGTCAAAGACCACGAAATCTTGATCCCGCAAATGTTTATCAATAATTTTAGATGCTTTTTTTGGATTATCCGTATATTGTCGCACAATTCTATAAATGTCGTCTCGGGACCCCCCACTGTTAAATAATGCAAGATGGCTCAGATTTTCACAGATAATTTTAGAAGTTTGTGTATATTTCTGGCTCACATATATGGGTGAGATATTTTGATGCCGGCCACTAATGAAGTACGGAATAATTCGTTCTTGTACTTTCTTTGGCTCAGTACATAAATCCTCAAACACAACAACTATACTTCGTTCTAGTGTGAATTTAGTTATATCTGGAATTTTATCTGGAGATATCCTTTTAAATGTAACATCTTCTTGATATGGTTTAGGGGCATTTGCAAAGATCTGGTACGCATTTTTTACTAATTCCTATTTTGGTTCAGAATGCTTTCCTATCAATACCAGATCGTCATTCTTAATATACCGATTACCTTTTTTCCCGTTAAACATGCATTGGAGCTTTTTACCTAGCATAAGATTAATAACCATATTTGTTTTTCCACTATTAGAACCCCCACATACCAGTAATCTGAATGGGGCATCTGGTGAATACTTATTACCTTTCATTCGTTCTGAGGATTTGTTAGATGTCTCGTCGATATTGTATACAAATATGGGCATTTTTTCTTCTTCCATCCTGATTAATCTAAGTAATACTTATGTGTTTATTCTTTATGCGATAAATAACCTCTCTCTTGCAATTCACTTTTTATAAATGCATATAAATCTGAGTCGAATAGTATTTCAATCTGATCTATACCTTGCTTCTTGCATATCTCTTGCTTTTTTTGGTTAAAAAGGTACTGTTGAATTATCATTTAAATATCCTTAATTATTATCAGAAATGACGAAAAAAAGATTAACCTTAGAAGATGCTTGCGCAATTGCTAGAAATCAGGGTGGACAGTGTCTTTCTACTCAATATACTACTAATAAAGATCCATTATTATAGTGTTGCTCGAATAATCATGAATGGCATGCATCTTTTGGTCATGTAAAATATAGCAAGTCATGGTGTCCACATTGTGCAAAAGTGGCTCGCTGTACTATTGAGGATGTCAAACAAATCGCTTTTGCCCGAAATGGAGAATGTCTTTCAACCGAATATATAAATAGCAAAACTGTTTTGTTATGGCATTGTTCAAATTATCATGAATGGTCTGCACGCCTTAATAATATAAAAAATCAAAATCAGTGGTACCCATATTGCGCAAACAGAGTTTCCCATACAATTGAAGATGCTAGACAAATTGCAATTAGTCGAAATGGAAAATGTCTTTCAACAAAATATATTAATAGTTATTCACATTTATTATGGCGTTGCTCTAAAGGACTTGAATTTCTTGCAAGTTTGCATCATGTCAAAATTAGTAACTCGTGGTGCTCAAAATGTGCAAAAGTAGCTCGTCATAGTATCAAGATTGCTAGACAAATTGCTATTAGTCGAAATGGAGATTGCATATCTACAATTTATTATAATAATCACTCAGCTTTACTATGGCGATGTGAAAATAACTACTATATATTTACTGCTACTCTCAATGCTATTAAAAATCAACACACCTGGTGTCCTTTCTGTTCAAAGAAACGTGAGGATTTATGTCGCAAAATCATAACAAAATATCTTGGTCTACCTTCGCGAATTCGTAAACCCGATTTCTTAAAAACTCCAAAATACCCAACTGGACTAAAACTCGATATCCCATACTATGATTACGGCTTTGCGATTGAAGTGCAAGGTATACAACATGAACGTCAAATCAAATTCTTTCATCCAAATTTTGAAGATTTCGAGAAACAGCAAACTCGGGATCAACTCAAGGAAGAACTCTGTGAAGAAAATTGGATAGCACTAAGATATGTTTGGTATTATGAAGACCCATTCGAGAAAATTCTAGATATCCTTCGAGAATTGGGTCTTATTTCTTAACTGTAATTATTCATTATCTGTATTTGGTAGATAACCTTTTTCGATCAATGTGGTGCGAATAGTAAGCTGTTCTATGGCATAAATTTTTGCTTTGTTAGTGTGTGTCTTAATATAGTGTGGTTTTTTGGAGTATTGGATTAGCATATCAATAGGTGTTCCAGGATGTGTTATGCAAATCAGCCAAGGATTGAGTGAGTTAAAAATATGAATATTAAGTTTGTGTGCTGCATATATAGTTTGTGCTGTAAGTATATTGTGATATATGGTGGGTAGAATAAACTGTGATGATTCAAGAATGTTTATTGATGAATAAGTGGCATTTTGAAGGTGTTGTAAATATATTTTTATTAGTTTTGCTGTAATGGGATTGTTAAGTTAATTATGTAAAGCTGATATATGGTTTTGTATTTGTATATCTTGTAGTTGTTTGAGGCCATATATTTGGTGATGAAATATAGTTGAGCTAGAGATAATTGTTGCTAGCCCTGCTTTATGTTTGACAACCTGAGTATATTGATTAGTTATAATGCGATTACTAGTTTCTGAAATGAATGTGTTAAGTATTCAATATGAGAAACGCAGTATGAGTACAGTGTTGATTATATAGATTGTCTGTTTTTCTGTAACTTTTTTCTTTTTTAAGGTGTTGATTAAGTTAGTAGCTTCCTGGGTGATTTGTTTGTAGATTTGTTTATGGTTGCTAGATACTGTGAACCAGCAGCCCAGATATCTAAAGTTTTCTGTTGGTAGTATACTAGGAATATTTGTATTGAAGGGTTTGGGTCTGTAATGCAGTTTGTGGCTAGAATTAATTTAGTAGGATTGACAGTAATGTGTGCCATATTGTAAAAGAAGGAGGCACGATTGACAATTTTCTGAAGTGCCTCTTTGTTGAGTGCTAACCATAAGGTGTCATCCATATAGGCTAAGACAGAGGTATGGTATATTATTGGGTGATGGCGTGGAGGTTGTGTAGTCATTGAATAGCCTTGAAATTCAGTATATATTGTAGTAATAAGAGGTCATAATAGATGCGCTATAGAAGCAGTGTAATAGTTTTATCTTGGTCAATCCATCATATACCGGATAGGGTTGGGTTGGGCCAAGGTTTGTTATAACAGAATTTTGACGATCGGTAAGAATGTTGATGAGTAATTGTTGTATATTGTTAGGAATATGTAGCTGATTTAGTGCAGATTGCAAGAGAGGTATATGTACAGAGTCATATGCCTTACTCATATCTTGTAAAAAGAGCCAAATCTCTTTGTTTTGAGTCTGCACTTCTTGTAGGATGTTTGTAAGGATATGGATTGGTTGTGTTGTAGATGTATGTGAAGT